TCTCTAGAATTGTGGATAAAGCATTTAGAATTGTTAATAGTATTTAATGAGTAGACAATGCATATTAGGTGTTATTTTTCTTATCATCTTATTACTGTTTTTATTACCCATGGCAATAAATAGGAACACATGGCAAGCTATAAAGAAACAACAATCTTCCATTCATACGGAATGGAAATCTCCAGTAATTCAAGATACTGCACTCATTTGGCTATTGATACTAGACAATTTCCAAAATCACAGCTATTGACCTATTGCCTTATAAGGAAATGCCATTCTCCAAAGCATGCATCCTAGAGAGCCAAGTCAGCTGCATGCATGTACACACATTAAATACATGTAGCTATAAACAAATGATACACTAATTACCAATTTATTTTCAAAGTATTAAGAGGGTAAAGGTTTACACTTCAGCCTCCTTTAATTGACCTATTCTAAGTATCTGGAGAGATTATTCTGCTTACTGTACATGCACAAATACTGATTCATATAACCTGAACTTCCCCAACTTTCTCCTTCCCTCAGAAAAGCCAGACATCTAAGAGTCTTTAAAACCTAGGCAAACCCAAGGCCCACAGAATTGTCCAGCTAAGAATAACCTTAAAAAAAAAAAAGGATGTTTTGGAAAGTGTGTGTGAAGAATAGAACAGGGTCAGAAAACTATGGACAGCATACTTAGTTTTTATAAAGTGTGTGTTACTAGAACACTTCCATGCTCATTCATTTTCATGGTGTCTACGGCTGCTTTTGCACTACAATGGCAGAATCCAGAGGTTGCAACAGAGACCATTTAGCCCAGGAAGCCTAAAAGGTTTACTTCTGGCCATTTCCAGAAAAAGTCTGCCAATGTTTTAGAGGACCATTGAAATCAGATCAGTTTTATTAGGAAATGTCAGTAAATTTGGGAATACCATAGAGATAAAAGGAACAAATCATACATAAGAGCTCCTCCTTCCCTCCCATCTCCAAATACAGTAAATTTAGAGTAACCTCTCCAAATTATTTCATTTGATATAGGACACTAAGACATAAAACGAAAGTATAAAGGTGCACACATTATAATAAGGATACTTTTTTATAAAGGAATACTACTTTCAAAACACAGGAACCAAGGTTTATATACACATGAAAACATACGTTTGTAATTTTTTTTTAAAAGGTCTTCACATCAGGGCCGGCCCGGTGGCGCACTGGATAGTGCACCGCTTGGGAAGCGCGGCGGCGCTCCCGCCCGAGGGTTCGGATCCCACATACAGACCGTTTCCCGCTCACTGGCTGAGCGAGGCGCGGGAGCAACACCGAGGGTTGCGGTCCCGTTGCCGGTCCCGGTCC